AGGAGTCACAGAAAGAGATCCCCTGCCAGGAGGGGAAGCCCTATTCTGCAGGTCTTGGTTTAGGACTATTTTAATGGATGGAAAGACATGGACATGGAGGAGAGAAGGTAAATTGCAAAGGAGGAAGCTCTGTCTTTTTATATGATAATGCAAGTGAATTATTGAGTATATTTAACTTGTAGACATAATTTAAGAATACTATAGGTGCAATTTGTAAAGATTTGGAAATTGCCAGATAGATTTTTAAATGGTATGTAAAAAAAATTGAGAGCTATTAAATTATTGAGTTCAAGTTGTATACTTCATATTTATGTGACCTTAGGAAAGTCACTTAATCTTTTTAAACCTTAATTAGCTGATCCTATCTTATTATACTGTAGTTAGGATGAAATCAGATCATATATGTAATAAACATAAAACTCTTGTGTCATCATACTTTAGTAAGGCCTGTAACTGCATTGTATTTTTATCATATTGTCATATATTAAGAATATACGATAAGCAAAAAAATTTCAACCTACAAAAATGTGGGCATATTGGGAGAGGATAGTTATAAGTATTATTAAGACAGAATATTTGGAGTTGTTTAATGCTTAAGTGAGGATTAATTTTATAAGTAGTGCACTATCAAATACTTCTATCTTGGGACAAATTTTACTTTCTAGCCAATTTTGTAATTACAAAGATTTAACTAGTAACTCAGAAGACAAGAACCATCTGTATCTCTAAGTAGGCAAATAAAAAGGATAATATTGTTTTGGACAATGTCCAACCTTTTAAATTATAAAAGAGCTTAGATAACAGTACAGACTATTAGTAAGCAATTGTTAAAAAAAAAAAAAACTGTTAAAAATATCAACACCAACCCTGTCTTTCGCCTTAACTAAGCATAGCATAAACTCCAGAGGAATCAGTCCGAGTCCTGTCAGGCACAGTTTTGAAATGATTTTGACAAATTAAATAGTAAAAACATTCCATCTATTGTTATGTATTTTAATTCAAATATATATTTGAATTAAAATATATTTTTTCTATCTTTAGCCATATCTAGGCAAAGTCTCATTGAAATATATTTCAAACGTTTCTTAAAATTGTTCTTACTATTTTTAAAAACTGATCCTTAAAAATCCCTTTTCTGTCATTTTAGGAATTTAGGTTGTTTTTTGCAGAAAACACTACTCTTTACTGTGTCACTTCCTTATATTTTCTTTTTTTTTTTGGAGAGGTTTTGCTATAGGGCGCGTGTGCTCGCCAGACAGAAAGCGAGAAATCACCTCCCAGGGGGGATGGTCATGCTGCAATCCCTTCTCCTCCATTCTCCTCTCGGGATCTTGGGCACATACGCACATGTGCCCAGCATGAGTTTAAGCCATCAGGTCCGGGACTCAAACCGCGGTCGACTACATGGGAGTCCAGTGACATAGCCATTACGCTAACTGCTGGTCCCAACTTCCTTATATTTTCTTTTCCAATATCAATAATCACAATGTCTGTAATCTTTATACATTGCTGAACTTTTCCACTTTTGTCCTCTACATTCTCTTTACACATGTACTACAAAATTAGGCCCTTTATGAAAATGGGGTAGTTCACATATTCTATGTCCTCTTTGTCCTAATTAACACCACAGCTTTAATGATGCTAAGAAATTAAACAATATTTTTTCAGGATTAAAACAGCTTTTGTTATTTTTTTAACTCGTCTAATTAGAAGTTTTTCTTATGATATTAATTAGAAACTAAAAATAAGATTTTGCAGTTTTTTCTCTAGCTATTCTTATGCATCAATTTGCACTGTAAATTCCTTAAGGGCATAGCCTTAGGGAATAATTCAGCCAAGTTTCCCTCTATTATAGATTGGTCCTTTATATTGTGTCAATATAAAATAGTTTATAAGTGCATTTATACATAAAATAAATTTAAAAATAAAGTTGTTATACCAATGGAAATGAAAATCGTCTTTTGAAAATACAGTCTTATATTTTCATAGAGTTAAAGAAAAACGGTGATGCAGTGAAATCTGAAGTTTGGTATATTAATACTACCTACTCTAGATAAGGAAGGTTAGTGATCACTTTTTTTTTTTTTTTTTAGGTTTGTGTCATAGGGCATGTGCACTTGCTAGAGAGAGACAGAGAGAGGAAAAGCGAGAAATCACCCCCAGAGGAGTTGGCTATGTTGTAATCCCTTCTCCATTCTCCTTTCAGAGTTTTAGGCATGCATACATTTACCTGGAGTGATTTTCAAGCCACCAGGTCTGGGACTGAAACTGCAGTTGGCTATGTGGAGGTCCATCACCTTCACCACCATGCCATCTGCTGGTCTTACTAGTCACTTTAATAGCTTGTCTTTATTAACAATTTCACTCAATTTGGGAACCAGCAGTTAGTGTAATGGCTATGTCGCTGGACTCCCACGTAGTCGACCGCGGTTCACGTCCTGGACCCAGTGGCTTAAAACTCATGTGGGCGTGCCCACGATCCCGAGAGGAGAATGGAGGAGAAGGGATTGCAGCGTGACCATCCCCCCTGGGGGGTGATTTCTCGCTTTCTGTCTCTATGTCTCTCTCTGTCTGTCTGGCAAGCGCACGTGCCCTATAGCAAAAACCTCTCCAAAAAGAAAAAAAAAAAGAATTTCACTCAATTTCATTTATTATAAGCAAAAGTGACACTCAAAGATTGGGGGTCAAGTTTGAAATATTTAGTGAAAAATAAGCTTTTGTTACATAATTCTTTCTGTGCATATATAATTTAATATTTCTGTTTTATTGGAGATACACTAATTTGCATTTTAGAGATATAAATTGTCATGGAAACTGGCCTGTGTTTTCTAGTTGACCTTGAGTGTACATTCTCTATATTCACTTTTTCAGCTATTTTACCTGATACTTGCATGCCTCTGTATATACCTTGTAGTAATAAACTATCTTGGATTCTAACTCCTCCTTTTGACTTTAGACCTAAATTTACCAAACCTTAAATGTATTAAGATTGGATTTATCAATACTCCCACCAACCTTTGCTTTTTACTCTGTTTCTGTTCTTCTTTAAAGCTTCTATATGATTCCATTTATCTAACCTCTTTATCTGATTTACAGGGACCTGGTGCCTTAACAGCCGCTTTGTACCAGTCTCTGTCATCTCTATCTTCCACATCATTCCTCTTTGTTCCTACTTTCTATTCTTTCTGCTAAACTGTTAAAAGAAACTATTTAAATCATTTTGGTTCATTTGGCTAAAGTAACCTGTAAGAGGCACAGCATTGACCAGATAGTTTTCTTGCTCCTTAAAGCTTCGATTGTTGCTCTCTTTTTCTATTGAATAATATTCACCATCCCTGGCTTTGTCACTAGGGCACCGGTGGACTGTTTTGCACATGCTTTTTTCCTTCTTTTTTTTTTTCCTTCTGAGTCCTAGCACGTACTTAATTTGGCAACCAAGACACGTAATCAGCCCTTCCTCAAATTGCCTTTCTTCATGGTGCACTTCAAAATCTCTGCTGCTGGGAACCTTCTGTTATCCCTTCCCACTTATAATTCTGAGTGGTTTCCCCAAGTTTAGATTCTTTTCATTTACTTTAGTATCTTATTCCACATGTATACTTAATATTTATGAATTATTTACAAAAGTTAATCTGCTTAAATTTTATAAAAAGAAGGTACTATCAGAGAAATAGATATTTTCACCTCATTAAGAAAAGTTCAATGCAGTGACAGAGCTATGGGTTGATGGGTGTGTGTGGGGGGTGATCATATTCCCCTGTAAGGTAGGCACGCCATCTAGTGACAACTCCACCACACTACAAACTTTGCCTCAGACATGAATTCTGAAGAGCTACCTTCAAATCTTTCTCAAGGAATAAACCAAGACAGAACTTTTCTATCACAAGCAAAATACTGAATATTTTTTATTTTTCTCATGGGATTAAGCACTGAAAACAATCAACTCAGGGTTGATTATCTAGGTATGTTCCGAGAAACAGAAAGACCTGAAATTTCATCTGGGTTAAGATTAATGATTCATATAAATCCACTTTGAAAACAGAAATTTAGAGCATAAATAAGTTTCTGATGGTGTGTAACCAATTTGTTTTCTCCAGAGATACCTACATAACATACCCACCACACTAATTTTGAAATAATAAATACTAGTTAATAAAAGAAGCATAGGCTTTGGAATTAGCTTGTGGTTTTCACCTCCATGAATTGGACCACAATATTCAATTGCTTAAGATGGCCATTTTCACAACTGAAAACATGAGGATAACAATAATTTTATTCTGAGTATAAGAAAAAAGAATATATATATATATATGTGTGTGTGTGTGTGTGTGTGTGTGTATACATATATATATATGTATACATATATATACACACACACATATATATATATATATATAGAGTAGGCACTTAGTAAATAAATGACAGGGTTTTTTTATGATATTTTAGGTTTTTGTCATAGGGTACATACACTTGCTGGAGAGGAGAGATAGAGAGTTACAGAGAGGGAAGGTGAGAAACCACCTCTCAGGGGCTGACTATGCAGCAATCCCTTCTCCTCCATCCTCTCCTCAGGATTTTGGGCACACACACACACACACACACACACACACACACACACACATGCCTGGTATGATTTTCAAGCTGCCCAGTCTGGGATCAAACCATGGTCAACCATGTGGGAGTCCAGTGCCTCAATCACCATGCCACCTGCTGGTCCCAAATGGCAGTTTGGTTTTAATGATTATTGTCCTTTTTACCTTTGGTGAGGTATGTATATGATTTTGAGCTTAAAAGCTGTTATTTCTAGATCCTCAATTTTTTTCTCTCTCAGTATGGTGAGCATGTGTTAGTAGATAGCAGTACATTCATACTGGTGAAAGATTACATGTCTAAATAGTAAACAAGCCACCAAGTTGATAAAATAAAATTGTATAAGCCATTAAAATCTTATATTTACTAATTTAAAAGAACTATTTATTGAAGAAGTATTTTATACTTACAGCTTTCCAGTTGCATTATACAAGTTTGAACATCCATTGGAAAATTCTTGAGATCCATTGGACAGGAAAGTGTTAATGTCAATCTAAAAGAATTCAAAGTAATTATGTTTAAAGGAAATTTATGAGATCATATTAATATTGTATTGTTAGGGAAAACAATGTTGTTTTGGTAGTGACTAACATTTGTTCAAATAACATTTTTTCCACGGTAGATCTCTTATTTACTATGAAATAGTTACGTTCTTACAGACAAATTTGTTTTGGGGGTGGGGTAGAAGACAGTTGTGGATATAAAGATCCCATCACATTTATCTACTCATTTATCCCTTCCCAGAGGGCCGTGATTATCTAGAAGAGGTCTATATATCCAGAAAATAGCTTCAAAAGAGAAATGTAAGAGTAGTTTCTACAAAATTAATTCCAAATGCCGCAAGATACATTTCTCCCAAATCACATAAACAGAATGTTTGAGAGGCAAGCATAGCAGGGAATCGGGAGGTCTAAACATGAAAAAGCAGAGTGCAGAGAAGCAAGTCCATAGGACAGCTTTCAGTCACTGTAACCACACTTGACAAAGTTTGCAGTGAAATTCCAGCAGTAGTAAGTGGAGTGAATCTCTCGAGACCTCTCTGGTGAAGCTCACTTGAAAATTTGGCTATTAGAGTAAGGTTTCCTACTGTGAAACTAGGACATTTCCCCAGATTTTATTGGATTCAGGAGAAAACCCATGATTTATCTCCACGCTCACCAAATAAACTCCTGGTTAGGCTCCACATTCAGGGTAGTCTGGGTGGTGCATACATGCACTGTACTCATTGGGAAGGTCTTTTCTCCACTTCCAGTGAGCCTCACTATGTTATATTTCAAAAAGTTCATCACCAGAGACCAGCAGGTGGCATGGTGGTTAAGGTGCTGGACATTCCCACATGACTGACCACGGTTTGAGTCCTGGGCATGGTGGCTTGCTTTCTCACTTTCTCTCTCTCTGTCTCTTTGGTCAAATTAAAATAAATGAACGAATAAATAAAATTAAATAAATAAATATTTTTAAAAAAAGTTCATCATCACCCTTGCATACTTTGTTAAAAATGTGTATTACCTAAATCTCTTTAGGGATTATCAAAAATACATGGTTTTTTAACTTAAGCAAGAAGGGCTCAGATTCAAACTCAAGTTTATTCAAATGAAGTTCTTTCCTGAGATGCTTTAGACAGACATTTTTTAGTGAAAGTATTCCCTTAGTAAAATGAAAATTGAAGATACACAATATAATGTAATGTGCTTTGTGAACGATGGTGAATATGGTAATATCCTTGGTTTGATTATCATACACTGCATGCATGCTTTGAAAAAACTATGCTGTATCCTACAGCACAGTACAATTACACATAAATAGGAAATTATAAAATAAAATGCAGAAAGGTGTTTCCATTGAGATTCAGTGTATTAAGGAGCAGCACTGTGTGGGGGTTTGTTTACCTAAACTTTGTGACCAGAGAGAAATTATTTCAACTCCTTTACATTGCAGTTTTACCATGTCTAAAATGAAGATAATAAAAGTACCTGCTCCAGAGTGGGTGTGAGCAATACACACGTTATTACACATAAAATGCTTAGATAAGTTCTTAACACACAGCAAGCACTCAATATATATTAAGTATTTGCAACCATTAGTAAATTCAATCACTCTTAGGCTCCCCCATTTACCCCTTCCCCATATGCTGTAATACAGTGTGGACACAGGATGACTGAATTAAATCACAAATATGAGCTATTTAAGCTTTAAGAAAAAGTAACCAGCAGCTCTACTAAATATTACTTCATTCTCCAAAATGGCATTTTTATGTAGATCATAAAGTTATAATGGTATATAAAATGAATACACTTTGTGAGTTACATCTAATTAACATAATCTGGAAGACATAATCAGATACAGACATATGAAGATGTTGAATTTTTAAAAGTCTAAGAGCATCACTTGGGAAATCCTTGAAGTCAGAGTGTAACACACTCAAATAATTCATAGTGTAATTTTTTTTCTTTTAATTTCCAGAGGGTACATGTGCTCACCAGAGAAAGAGACAGATAGAGAAGCAAAGAGAGAGAGAGAGAGAGGAGAAAGCACCCCACAATGGAGCGTAGTCACACTGCAGTCACTTCTCTTCCATTTCTCTATCCTTTCACCTGGAGTGTCTTACAAGATGCCATGGTTGGGATTCGAACCTTCATCTGCCATCTGAGATATGGCTCTCTACCACTAGACTAGAGGGGCTGGCCCATAAAGTTCACTATTTAAAAATATTTTTTTTCTCCTGGATTCACTAGCTTAAGTGATCCTGCAAGTATGACCATGGAGATTTACAAAATTCTCTCACAAAGACAGTTGGAAAATTGGGTGGACACAAGGTTCTCTGCTTTGTCTAAGGATTTTTTAGAAGCATATGCACACATACATTTTGAAAGCACACACATTAATTTTCCAAATATCCAAGGCTTTCAGCCAGCCAGTTTCAAGTGTTGACTTGCAGAATTATTCTGTGACCTTTTGTATGAAAGTAAATAGCATTCTCAGACTTTTTTCCACGCTCTCACCATGCATGTGATGTCAAATTCATATCCTGGTTATTTTTCTGGCATAAAATAAGAGACATTACATAATTCTAAAAAAAAAAAAGCACTTGAAAGGAATTATTTGGCAAAGAAAAACACAGTTTGTAGAACTCCTGTCATAAATTATATCCTGAAAAAGATCTATTTATTGACTTTTCTTTCTTTTTGTTTAAGGTACAAATACAATTGCTTCTTTAACAGCATATTCGTGAAAAATGTGTCAGCTTGGTTCGCGTGATACTGAATTTCTTTATCAAAACATTACACATAAATTAAAGATATGTCCTGACCACATCAAAAGAAAACTAAATCAAGAGGCAATTAATCACACTCTACTGTCTTGGAAATGAATGCCTTCTTGTTTAAGAAGGACACTAAGTTCTCTTTCTGAGACAAGACACATAAACAGGATATGGCATTTCTTATTTTCCCTGAAGAAATCTTGGCCTAATGAAGTAGTAATGTTAAAAACTGAGTATAATCTGTGACACGCCTCATGGAGATTTAACTGTTGCCCATTTTTGAACAAGTATTGCTTTGAGTGTGGTGTTTATCTCAACTGCTAATTGACTTTTAAAAGTGTTTTAGTCTCCATTTTAGCACTTTCGAAATGGGAATGATTCTAGCGTGAACAAAAGACAACAGAAGCACAACAAAAGCAATTAAATACTATATATTTAATTAATATACTATATACGCTTATTTTACTAACTTGTGCTAACACCCTGACTTTACCACTTCTATGACAGAAAGATAATTGCATTAAAAATCAAATAAGAAGAAATTTTGTGTCCAAGATACTATGTACAACAGCTCATCAAAGGTCATAATATAATTTCAACATTTTTAAAGAACTTTCTTTTCATTTTAATTTTTATGCCAGAGGGCACACACACTAGCATGAGAGGAGAGAGACAGAGGGGGAGACAGAGGAAGAGAAAAAGTGTTTTAGCTTATAACTCTACAATAGGCTTTTTATGAAAATAAATATTTTATTTGTTCCTAATATTTATATATTTAGCATCATAAAAACAATAGCCTCTTATTTAGCAATTTAATCAGCTTTGAAATTTGTCAGCAGTATCATAACAGGTAGCACCTCTATAGTACTTAAACACTATAGTGTTAAACACTGTTCAGAATACTTTAGATATGCTAACTCATTTATCCCCTGCTACAAACTTATAAGATAGGTAAATGATATTAGTCTATGTTAGAGAGGAGGAAACACAGGGGTTCGGTGACTCACCTGACATTACACAGCAGAAATGGGTAGAGCTGAGTTTACAGCCCTGGGAGTCTAGTTCTAGATTCCATGCTCTTAAACTTTAAGTATACTGCCTCTCAAAAGCATTGGAACATTTTTCATGAATAAGTTCTGTAATTAATGTGACATTTTTAATTTTATATTTTTATAAAAGACATGATACATTTTATATATTAATAATTAAAATTTAAAAGAAAACATACATAAATAATTCTTCCAGAAGAAATGAGAGAATGTAATTCTCATATAGAAAATTTAAGCAATTTCTCCATGGATTTTATATATTGAATAATTTCGTATTTTATTGCAAATGATTTTATGAAGAGTAAATAATTATTAGGAGGGATTAGATTGCTAGAACATTGGAAGGGAGATTATAATTAGCCTACGTGAACTACTTCTGGAGTTTTGTTGTCACCAGATCTTAGAGATAACCATAAATCTTATCAATCCATCACCACAGTAGTCTCAGTACTGTTGATATTGTTCTTTTAAGAAGCTGATGTACATAAGCTGTGGAAGTCTTCAGAATAACATACTAAATCACACATACCACGTTTTCCTCAGAACAATATCTCATACACAGTAAACTGACTTTCCTTGAATAAATAGTATTTTTAAAAGTATCTGTTCAGGACCAGCAGGTGGTGTGGTAGTTAAGGTACTAGAGTTGCAAATGACTGTGGTTGAAGTCCAAGATTTGGCAGTTTGCTTTTTCTCTCTCTGTGTAAGCACAAATACCTGATAGAATAATTTTTTAAAATTAATAATAATAATAAATAAAATTTAATAAATCGTTTTTAAAAGAGTCTTTTAAAATTAGGAGGCTTCTGTATTTAAACATTTTCTAGGAAAGTGATTATATTAGCTTAAATAAAGGTGGAGGTTGGACCCTGTAGTGTGGCAGCTGGGTGCTGCACTGCAGAAGCTGGATCCCACATGACCATCGGGGTTCTAGTTCTTACCCAATCAGCTTGAAGAGCACATCAGGACCATGTAAGCATGCCCAAGTTCCTGACAGAATAAAACTATGAAGGAAAGGTATTTAGCATGACAAATCCCATTTGGGGAGTACTTTTGCTATTCTTCTCTCTTTTGCTAGTACATGTGCCTTCTGGCATAACATATTTTTTTTTAAAGAAAACTTCTGAAGCTGAAATTATATTATGATGTTTGACAAGTGTCTTTGACACACAATTTCTTCTT